TACAATGCCAAATGACAACAACAGTCGCATCAAGGCACGTTATATTGTAGGATGAAGACGCTACAATAACGCAAAAACTTGTATTTCTGTATATTCTCCTAATTTTCCCACTATTTGAAATGCCTCTGACTCTTTCTCCCAGTTTCCGTTATCGTGCTGAGTCACATGATACCACATGGTGCTTTTACTGTCTCCGAGTAATGTCTGAAAAATACAACAGCATAGTAATACGAGTTCAACAGTGAAACGGTGGGCATAAAAGAAAAAAGCACCAAAAATAATTCTTTTATAGAAACCACTACAAAGGAATAAGTATAGAACAAATTAAATTGTAGAGGTTAATTGGACAAGAATAAAAAGGGACATGTAACAATGACATGTAGCAACAATGCTACGAAAATAGGATTTTTCCTTTTACTTATTTATTCAAAGTTTTTAAAAAAAATCTTCAACCTTTTATGCATTTATTGTTGATTTTCATTGAGACATTTGGTCAACTACTCTAAATCTGGTTAAAACGTAACATTTTGCGTTTTGTAAGTCTATTACTTACTCGCTATCTGCAACTTTGTTATTAGGGAATATGAGATAGTTTGTTGTTGCTTTGTTTAATGGTAATCAGCCTGTTTTACACATCACTGTATTTTTTCCTCCTTATTCATTCCGCTGGTCCGTGAAGTCAGCAAGAGTCGTGGTTTATTAGAGCAAGACTTGAAGCGGCTCTGACCAGATATCAGTAGGCTGAGATAGATGGCAAGCGGTTGTCATTTTTATGCCACTGGAAAGAAATCCTCTGATGCGAATCTCGTGGATGACGCTTGATGTGACGTTTACGTCAAAAAGTGCGACTTAAACTAAGTTTGGATATATGTTTTTCTTTTTTTCACCACTTAGAAACGCCGAGGAGCTGGTAGTGAAAGTTTGGAGACATTTCGAGAGTCATTAAAAAGTTAGAAGAAACCTTTTGGGACGTTTTGTGTCGGTCGTGTTGAGAGATGTCTGAATCAGAGAAGAATGAAAACATTCCCGAAGCGTCTGCAAGAAAAGGAAATTCAAACACAGGGAATCCAGCAAAAAGCGAAGAGGTATGACACAGCTGGACGCTCCTGCACAACTACAAGTGATTATAATGTGATTGTGCAGGTTTTCTGTCAGCGGATGGCCTGGAGAACGTGCAAATGATTCCACGACTGCAGTAAACTGTTGGACTCTTGTCCTTTAAGCCCCATAAAGCACCCATCACTAGTATACAGCTTCCAACTTCCCTAGTTAGTTCTCTGTTAAAGATGAATTTATTGTGCATTAAGTGAATCATTGACAAATAAAATAGATTTTATTCGATAGCTTTGGACGACTGTTTAAAAAGCAAAAAAAAAGGGACCCTTTTATTTTCACGGACTGTTTTTGACAGATGGTTCAATGCTTGAAACAAACAATCTATATGTTCCTTCCACTATTTGAGTGAACTGCCTTCTATATTAAATCACTGTAAATCACCTTAAAACTCTCTCGTCACAGCTCAGGACCTGCTTGCCAGTGATTCTTACCAGTTGCACTATTCTTTGCTAGCCTTCAGGCTCATGCACTGTGGTCACCAATTAATCAGACAGCATAGACTTGACCTCAA